TCTTTTCCTTGGAGAAAATGGACTGGGACAAATTACACACAAAAAGCTAAAATCTCCAGCACCAGTGGTTGAAAAACAATCGAGCCTGTATTAGCAGTTCCTTTGCCCACAGAATGCTCTCTGAGGAACTACGGGGTTTGGAAAAAGTGCAGGCCTCTATTCTTCATCCACGACACATCAAAGTTGTAATAAAAACCTGCTTTTCTTTGTGCAACTAAGCTACTGCTATTTCACACCCACATATTGCTGGAGCTGATTCAATTACCCTCAGTGACTTTGTTTAAAATGAAAATGCTTTGCCTCCTAAGGACAGTGTGAGAGGACTGATTAATGTTGCTCCCTGAACAACAGAAGTGTAGGTACACAGACAAAAACCTAAAGAGCTGGAAACTACTGCTGGGCCATGTTTCACAAGCAATTCAAATCTACCTTCAAGTATTTTGTAAAGCGTAAGGACTCCTAAGGCAGTTGGATATATCAGGGGGCATCCTATGCCATTTTTCCTCTTTCTTCTTGATGACAATCACAGAATTAGAAAATTAAGAGGATGACAAGAAGTGAGAAAGAAAAACTAAATTTTGCCATATGGTTTTTCAGGAGACGAGGAAACAGTTCTTTTTTTTTCCTCCCCCCCGCCCCGACACATGGTTCCAAAAGATCTGTAACTAACGAACCAAGCCAGCACATGGCTGGGTTCTGGAGCTCTGTGACTCAGAAGTCACTTTTCTATCCAACATATTAAATGTCAAGTAAAATACATCCGATAAGAGAGATGAAATTTTTTCGGGAAGCTTGGCCACTGAGTGAGTGTCTCTCCTTTGCAAAGGAGCCCTGTATGTTGCATCTGTTTTTTAGTCAGATTGCCAACCTATAAGAGATAAAACATCCACCCAAGAGCTGCATTAAAAAGCATAAATCATGGAGACCATATCTAGTCCTCTATAAATCCCTTCAAAAAGAACTTTATCCATAATAATAAAGGTCTGTTTCATTTAAGAAAGAAAAAAACCCAAACAGAAACACATGCAGATAGAAAACAGAGAGAAGATGAAAGAATCACAGTGATATTTTTATGTATGCATAGTATGCGAAATTTGGAGACGAAGAGTCCCGACAGAATGCTTGAAGAATCTGTAATACACAAGAATATATAGGTTCCAGGGTGCGCATAATCAGAAAGGGCAGTATTTATCCATCATCTGTCATCGGCTCTCATTTCGCAAAGCTTGCAGATTAGAACCCCTGATGTCAAAAGAACTGAAAATATTTAGAGCTAGTTCTTGCATGGCTCCGTGAGGAAGGGGATGAGGGAAGAAAGAATTATATTAGGACTACACTTCACTACTCTTTTTTATAGTAGATTGTTTTCTTTAAGAGGAGCATAAGCTATGATTAAAGTGGCAGAATTTTGGTGCCTCTAACACCTGGTATGGAAGCAGAGTAACAAGAAATACTTGGCAACCCGATTATTTCATGCAGGTTTTCATCTACCCAGAAAGTTGTCCTCAAAATAGAATGGAACTTTTTCTCCTTTATCAATCTGGGAGGTGCCTGGGGCAAAGTAACCAAGAACCTAAGAGTGTTGTTGATCTGTATTCTCAGCAAACAAAATCTAAATACACTATGATCCAAGGAGTTTAACAAATAGCTTCCTAATTTTATTCAATTACTTAATGGTATATTCAGCTTATATTACACTGCTGTCTTGATGTGAGGCTGAAAAGAAACAAGATTTGTCCCTAGAGAGACATGGGGTTATTGAGCTCTGTTCCCAGAAGTGGGAGGATGGATTAGATAACTGATCTTTCTATAGTTTTAAGGAATATTTTAATTCAACTGTGAAATAATGGGAGAATAAAACAAATTCAAGATCATCACTATCTAGGGATTTGGGGAGGTTAGATGTATATCCTGAAAATAATAGCTAGGGAGAAGGAAATCTAAGAAAATTTTTACCTTAGGATGCTAAAAACTTAATATTTTAGAAATAGCAAAAGGCTCATTTATTTCTTATAAATTTTTAACCAAAGACATTTACTGTTACTGAATAGGCTGAAATAGTAAGATTTTTATACTTTCACATATTGGGGTCTCAGGAGTAAACATTTACTAGGGATCACTATGGGAAATGCAATCCTTCCCATCAAGAACAACTGTGGAGACAAAACATTCCATCCAAAATGGATTATCAGGACTCAACTTGTACAAAGCAATGCACAGATCAGACTCTCTGTTGTCATTCCAAGTGGGGGAGGGGTCAGCATGAAGCAGGGTTGCTATGGGAAGGTTTCTGCGCTATGAACCTTGACTTGAGGAATGTCCAAGGATGAAAAGGTCAGGAGTCATAAGAAAGGGGGATGGGGGCCTTGCAGGTAGAGGAGTCAGCATAAGCCACCTTTGTAAGTTACAGTGAATGACATTTGGAGACTGGCTGAGGCTAAAAAGCTGGGGCAGACTGTAGAAAGCAAAGCTACCATTATTGAGAGCTAAACATGCCAGGCACAAAGCTAAACATTTCCTTTACTTTTTTCCCTAATTTAATTTTAATAAAACTGAGCCCCAGGCCACAGGCTCAGATTGCTTCTCTTTGTTAGCCACACTCACTTCCTAGATGACCACATACAATCTCTCAGTTTTAGTGCCACTTGTACTTGGATGACTCTCAAATCACCACCTTCAGCCTGGACATTTCCTCCAAGCTCTGGACTTACACGTCCGGCTGCCTATTTGACATTTTCGCATGTATGCCTGAAGGGTATCTTAAGCTTAACGTGCCTAAAACCTAATTCCTGCTTTCCATCTATCCCCCAAACAAAACAAACAAGAGAGAAATAACTGCTCCTCCTCATCCACCTTCCAAACACATCCAGAAACCAACCACTTCTCACCACCTCCACACCTACCACAGCAAGCCACCCCCATCTCCAGCCTGAATCACTGGGGCAGCCTCCAAGCTCCTAGCGAGGATGGGTGTGAACCTCCCCTCCAGAGCCCCACTGAGTCTACGCATTCCAAACCTGTCCTTTGTAGGACAGGCTCCAGCCATCAGTACTGTTGTCTGAGGTAGAGACAAAGAGTTAAGAGTAATTCTTTGACAGGTGACAGCAGAAACAACAGATGCTGAGTGAATCTAAAAGGAAAACTGCAGGGTGGGGTTGAGGGTGTCAAGGATGGGATATTTGAGGACATCCACAGGGGAATAAAAGAAGTCCCACTCTTAAGAAACATCACACTGTTGGCTAGGCGCATGGCTCACACGTGTAATCCCAACACTTTGGGGGGTTGAGGCGGGTGGGTCACTTGAGGTTAGGAGTTCGATATCAGCCTGGCCAACATGGTGAAACCCTATCTCTACCAAAAATACAAAAATTAGCCGGCGTGGTGGTGCATGCCTGTAATCCCAGCGACCCGGTAGGGTGAGTCAGAAGAATCGTTTGAACCCGGGAGGCAGAGGTTGCAGTGAGCCAAGATCAAGCCACTGTACTCCAGCCTGGGCGACAGAGCAAGACTTCGGCTCAAAAAAGAAAAAAAAAGAAACATCACATTGTAGGTCAAATGTCCCCCGCCTTGAGCAGCCTTTCTTGACTCCCCAGGCAGAGCTGAAGGCTCAATTACAGGCTTCGAAATCACCGGATGCCTGTGCTAAGCGCCTCCTCCACGAGAATCTGAACTCGTTTTGTGCCTCCAGCACCTGATGCCTACCTGGTAAGCCCTTGGCAAAACTGTGCTGAATGTTTAACATGGTGTCACGGACAGTGAGTTAGGAACTTGGAGAGGAAGTGGCTGCTTTCTTCTGGAAGAGCTCATTAAGACTTTACACAGGAGGTGAGGTTTGCAAGATAGAAAAAGGTATTTCAGTTTATCCAGGAAGTTAGCACTGATGGCCCAGCAAGGAACAGCAGTGGTGTGGAAAGACGGAGGGCCAGGCCCGAAGGAAGCGAGGAAGGGAAGCCGCGGCAGCAGTGCTGGGCTGTGGTGCTGAAAAGTAGGCTAGCACTGGGCGGCCGAAGACAGCAGCGAGGCAAAGGAAGAGTTGTTCCCTCCCCTCCAGGACCGGTGGTGGGAAGCAAGGTGGAGGTGGGGGGGATGTCTAAAAGAAAGGACGAATAGCCAGGCAACGGAAAGTAGTTGCTTTGGAGAACGTGGTTGAGGCTGGAAGCAGGAGTTGATGGGTAAAGGGATGAGGAGAGCTCATACCTGTGGTTCTTTTCATTTCCTTGTATGACGCAAATTACCGAGCTCCAAAAAGGAGATGAGCCCAAAACCTTAACAATCAGAGGCTAAAACTGGACTAATCAAGTAGGTGTGAGCCAATAAGTTAATGAGGTAGGAGGCACAACACGGTCGAGAATTATAAGACAAACCCAGGTTTTTACTTGAGTCCTCGAGGATCCAATTAACTTCTCATTAAGTGGGGCTGGGTGCTCGGCTTCTCACCGGGCGCCAGCCTCCAAGCCCCCAGCCAACGCATGGAATGGGACTCCAGGGAAATTCGGCCAGCTGGTGGTTCTTCAGCGAGATGACGGCAGTGGCGTGGACAGGCCATTCACGGTGATACCCACCCAGCTCTGTCCAGGCCTCGAGCGGAAGGCTGGGAGCAGCACAGCACACGAATGGCAGCCGCAACGCCTTCCTTTCCCTTTCCGTGCCTATCACGCAAACCCTCCCCTACTAAAATGTACCCTCCGTGAGAATAAGGCTCCGTCCTTCTTCGCCGGAAGCGCGGAGCCTAGAACGGCGCCTGGCCACGGCGACGCCCAACAAATACTGGCTGAATAGTGAATGAACTCCGCTCGGCCGCACTTCAGTCTATCTGGGCACTGAAGGATGCGACCCGTGGAGCAGCCTAAGAGAGCACAGGGGGAAGAGAAGAAGCGGAAGCCTTTTCTTCCGCGGAGGTCCCCGCAGGACGACCTGCGGGACCCGAGCGCCGGGCTCCGTAGCGGGGTCGGGAGGGGGATTCTGGTCCCAGGCCCAAGACCGATGGCTTTGCAACTGACCTTCCGGCGGGGGCGCCCGCGCGGGGCACAGCAGCCAGGCTCCGGCGTCCCGCTCCCGCCGCCCCCCGGCGGCGCCGGGCGCCCACTGCGCACGTAGGTCACCTGCCTCCTGCTGGCGCCACGCGGCGAGCCCGGCGCAGGCTGCAGGTGCGGCCCAGGTGGCCTCCAGGCCGGGCCCGGCAGGGCGCTGCGGGCTGGGGACCCGGACCCGGCGCGCCGCAGGTCCGCGCACAGCCGCAGGCCGAGCAACAGCGCGGCCCCGAGTAGACACCGGCGCAGGGTGCCGCAGCCCCTCCGGGGAGGCCTCTCCCGGGCCATGGCGCTACCCTTGAGGTCCCGCGGGCCGCGCCTGACCGGCAGTAGGGATGTAGCCCCGCAGGCCGGAGCGGCCAGCTGTGGGAACTCCCCCGCGGGCCGGGGCGCGGGCTCAGACCCGCCTCCCTCCCTCCTGACCGAGGAAGCCTCGGCGTAACCTTATCCTGTCCTGCCCTGCGCGCCCTGCCGCTGGAAGGGTGGTGGGCCGAGCGCGGTAACAGGGCGCCCTCTCCGTCCCTCCGGAGGTGCCAGGGCCCGGTTGTGCAGGGTCCCTCAAGAGGTGCCCTCCGCCCCGGCCTCCAAAGCCTGACGGAGCTGAAAGATATAGGGCCAGAAAAAGCGCATTCCTAACGGGATCCCGGGCCATAGCTTCATTTTCTGATATTAGTGTTGTTGGAGAAACACAGGAGGAGGGTAGGTGAGCATACAAGGAACAGTCAAGCAGTTTGCACCATTAAGCACAATATAAAAATAAATAGCACTTAAGCCCGGGTTTACAACTTCTCTCTCTCTCTCAAGAAAGAAGGGATTGGGGAGAAGAGAATAGCACTCAATGCAGAATAATCAAATTAGAGTTATTCTATATCTAAATTCTGCCTGAAGCCAATTCGTACTTTCTTTCCGTGTTATGAAATGTGTGGGGGTGAACAAGGAGAGGGAAAAAGCCAGCTAAGACATCTGACAGCGGGTGGGGGGTGGGGGTGGGGAGAGAACAGAAGTTACCATGGCATGATGTAAATCAAATTAATTTAGCTCCAAACACACACCTCCCTGCTGTCTCGCAGAAACACAGAGGGACAAATTTATCTTTCGGCAAAATGCTCCCCAGCTGGTATTTCCATCACCACCTTGACCTTAATTAATCAGACTGAACTCTCACAGCCTGAAGTCCAGTGGTGGATGTTCCATTTTCAACTGTTAGTAGAATCCTTTCCCACAACCCAGTTGGGGTGGGTTTGGGTTTTAGGTTTGAGTTTGGGTTTAGAATTTTTTAAGCGGTGGTCACTTTTCTTTTTTTCCTTGCTTTACTCTTTCATTTTCCATGCTTCCATGGGAGACTGCGCCTGCCGACCTATTCTCTTCCCCGGTAACAGCCTACAGCATGGACAAGAGACAACAAATACGGAGCCCTACCTCCCTGCCCTTTTGAATGTTGGGTATTTTCTGTAGGGAGGCCTCGTCTCTAAAATCCTCTTCTCTTCCTGGCTTAAGAAAGACCCAATTTATTCCCTGCTAGTGAACAAAGCAGTTGGGCTGTTTCTCTACATTTAACAAAATATCTCCACCCAATCTAGTCCACCCCCTGGCCACACCGGGTCCTCAGGATCCTGAATGTTCCATTAGGGTTGACTTTTGCTTTTTTCTTAGATGAGTCCAGGGGATATTGCAGATGGATTCTATTTTAACAAATTTAAACAAGTACGAGTTTTTCCTTACACAAACTGAGAGCCAGCCTCACATCCTGTGACTATTTACTTGAACTGTGTTTGAACCAGGACCCTGCCATTCAAGCACTGTGAGACTTTCAACAAAGTACTGGACCTCTCTGAGTTTCTGTTTTCCCATGAATAAACAGACCTATATATATGGCAGGATTATAAATGTTACATAAAATATTATATATTTCATGCCCAAATAATACCTGGCTCACAGAAGGGTCTCAGTAGTAATTTTTTTTTTTTATTTACCATTAAAGAAAATCCTGGATGTTGTCATGAAAAAGAAAAGGTAAGCATTGATTCCAAAGTGGGCAAAGATAAAGTATAAGGAAATTTACAAATAATTTATACAGTATTCTCTGGAATTCAGAGTACCCAATAATTTCAAGACAATAACCATTAAGCATCAAGAAACGAACTCTGTTAATATGTATAAGCGTTTGTAGGGTGCTTGATAAACCTGGATTGGTAATGTCTGGTGTAGACTTTACTGGAAATTTTATTTTCTATGCAGTCAACACAGTGCCGCTAACTAGAGAAGTAATCTTTTAAAGATCATGGTGCCACTAGCGTGTACCCTCTGCTCCTCTGTTGAGTTTCTCTCTGGGGGTGGGGGGAAGTATAAGCAGTATTTTATATTATTAAAATAGGGATATTTAATAAGACTCTGGGCTGGGGGTGGAGGATGGAGTGGGGGTGCATACAAAACAGTGTAGTTCTGGAAGAGAATGGGCAGGATGACCTCATATTTTCCTTTATCTCATTTCTACAGTTCTCTAATAAAATGTTTTCATTATGGAAAAAATTTCAAATTACATGGAATATTTAAATAGCCTTTTATCTTTTGCAGTTGTGTTTGTGTCTATGTGTTTATTACTAATAAAAAGGAACTGTTTATATGTATGTAGCATCAATTTTCTGGAAGAAATCTATTTTTAACTTCCACACAGTATTTTCCTGTGTTGTGGATGATAATGAATAGTAAAATGGGTCAGTCTGTGGGCTGAAGAGGCAAATCTAATGGATCACTGTTGTAGCTGACAAGCAAGCTTTCATTTACGACCTTTGCTTTTCTTATAGAGTTGAACTTGTCTCAGTCCTTTCTGGATGTGTCTCAAAAATGCAGATAATCATTAACCACTGTGTCATAGGTTGGTTAATTAGACAAGCAGGTCAGTAAACCACAATAGCAGCTTTCATCAGATCACAAATTACATCCTCCTAGAGGTTTTAGCCAAGAAAATGCATGAAATAGAACATTTCTAATCCCCTAAACAACATGCATTTCAACTTGGACACCTGCTGTAGTGCAGTGATTCTCAACCAGGGTTGGTTTTGCCCCCCCGGGGACATTTGGCAATGTCTGAAGACGTTTTTGGTTATTACCACTAGGGGACGCTACTGGCATCTAATGGCTACCTATTAACCAGGGATACGGCTAAGCATCCTCCAATGCAAAATATAGCCTTCCACAACAAATACTTGTCCAGCCCAGAATGTCAGGAGAGCGGAAGCTGAGAAAACCTGCTGTAACTCTAGATGCTAATGTGGCCATTTTAAATTATAGACTGTCCAAAGAGAAAACAGAGCCGACAGTATCCTCACCTCCATCAAATGGTTATTTTTATCTCACAATGTGACATACCCAGTGTGTTAGTCCTTTTTTTGTGTCACTATAAAGAAATAACTGAGGCTGAGTAACTTATAACAAAAAGAGGTTTAATTGGCTCTTGGTTCTGCATGCTGTACATGAGGCATAGTGCCAGCATCCGCTTTTGGTGAGGCCTCAGGAAGTTTACAGTCATGGCAGAAGGCAAAGGGTGAGCCAGTGCATCACATGGTGAGAATGGGAGCAAGAGAGAAAGGAAGGAGCTGCCAGCCTCTTTTAAACAACCAGATCTCCCATGAACGAATAGAGCAAGAACTCACTTATCACAAAGAGGGGATGGTGCTAAGCCATTCGTGAGGGATCCACCCCCAAGATCCAATATTTCCCACTAGGCCCCACCTCCAACATTGGAGGTCACATTTCAATATGAGATTTGGAGGAGACAAACATCCAAACCATATCACCCGGTCTGAATTAAAGTAATCAAATTTACGAAAAAATGAAGTTAGAATGTCTGGCATCAACATCCCCCATCTCCTCATCACCTTTTCTCTGTGTACATGCTCACTGTGGAAAATATACACACGCAAAAGAAGATATCAACATTCATAACATGGTTCAGATATAGCTATCCTACACATGTAGATGGTGTTCAAAAATGAAATCATATTATACATATTTCTTTATAATGTGCTTTTGTAACATAATATATTATATAGTTTATGTATTAAATAATATGTTGTTTGAAATTTGATTAACAACAATCTAGTGGGGAGATGGGAGAGAAGTGGGAGTGTAAATGAAGCAAGAATGATTGTGAGTTGATCATTGTTGTAGCTAGATGATGGGTTCACAGCTCTTTATTTTTGAGCATATTTGAAATTTTCCATAAGGAAAATGTCCTTAAACAGTAACCTGTTAACTACAACATGTACCATATTAATCATTCTTCCATTGTTGAACAATTGGGTAATTACCAGTTTTTCATTTTTATAAACAATGCTGTGATGGACATCTTTGTAGCTAAATCTGATGGAGCAGATGTGCAGTGTGAGAGAAAGAAAGAAGTCAAGAATGATTCCGAGGTTTTTCCTGAGTAACTGGAAGAATGAAGTTGCTGTTAGCTGAGAAGGGAAAAACTCAACTAAGAGCAATTAGACTCGAAAATCCAGTATGATTTTGGTAGTCCCATTCAGTTTGGGAAACCTACTGGATATCCAAATGGAGATGTGACATAGGCAGTTGGATGTAAAAGACTGAAATTCAGGGGAGTGGTGAGGGCTGGAAATAGAAAATTGGATCGTCAACATACAGGTGTGAAATATCTGAAGGCTTAATTCTGGGATTCACCAGTTTAAAGTCAGGAAGATGAGGATCCAACAAAGGGTACTGAGACAGATAAGCAGTAAGGTAAGAGAATGTGGTGTTCCAGAATCCAAATGAAGAAAGTATTTCTAGAAGTAACAGACTGAGAGGTCTAATAAGATGTGGACTGGAAACTGACTGTAAGATTTGGTAACATAATGCCTTGTTTATGATGTCTTCCCCAACTAGAATGTAAGCTCCATGAGGTCAGGAACTTTGTTTCCATTGATTATTGCTATAATCCTGGTGCCTAGAACAGTATCTGGCATGTAGTGTATGCTTGATAAATAGTTGCTGAATTGAAGAGTGAGGAATGAATCAAGTCTGCGTGCATTCATAATTATTTTGTCACATTAAATTCTTAAAAGTGGAATGCTACATGAAGGCAAAATCATAAGTCTTTCAGTGTGAAGTGCTATCATTAATTTTTAAGTCCACCAAAAAAGGCCGTTTTAATCCCATTTAAAGCTATCAAATATTCCTTTGTTATTGTTGGGAAACCTCAAAGGGTACCCTTGAGCCAGCCCCTAACAGAAGAATGAACTAAGCGAAGTTTATTTTTAGTTCCCTCTTATTCTCCTGTTGCTACA